GGTCTTCGAAGACGGCCGCTATATTCCCGGTCAGCAGGCGGACGTGGTCAAGCCCCCCCCTTTAGGCCCGGCGGGCCCCCCGGCGCCGCCTACTCCGAACCTGCGCGCTGAAGCACACCATGGCTCCCACCGAAAGTTTCAGGGCCTTCAAGGGCTTCGCCCACCGGGGCCGCTCGCCCCAGGCGGCGGGGGAGCCGCCGTTGCCGCCGCCCTTGCCCTCCCCCGGGGGGGCAGCGGTCGCCACCGGCGCCCCTGTCCCCGCCGCCGCCGCAGCGCCGCTTCATCCGAACACCCCCACCGGGAACGCGTCCGCCGCCGCCGCTAACGCGTCCGCCAGCGGCAGCGGCGATCCCCTCCGGTACCGCCCATTCTCTTGAAAAGACGTGCGTGAAGCGCTTGTTGCCGGCGTTGGGCGCGCCGCCGACGGCTGCCGCTGCCGCTGCCGCTGCCGCCGCCGCCGCCTCTCCCGCTGCCTCCAACCCGAAGCCTTCGTCCCGCTCCCGCTCTCCCAGCCACACCAGGCCGGACATGCACTTCTGGGTGCGGGATTCTCGCTCGGGGCCGCTCTCCTGCCACATCGTCCGCCTCACCTTACAGATGGCAGCAAGGAGACCCACATGTACCGTACAAAACACAAGTGTATACAATTGTAGATCTCAAGTGTGATCATGCAAAATCGAATGCAATAAATCGGAGTACACACCACTAAATCTCCCAGGCATCACACATCGTTTGCCTCACCAAAGGACAGGGGAGGAGGGTCCCCGCGGATGCGAGTAGGATCAGACACACAGAGGTGTATTGGTTTTACTTACTGCTCCATTTCTTTCGGGCCCCCACCCGGTGAATGGGTCTACTACTACTTGGTGTGCAGATCGCGCGGGAGACGAACACTGCCTAGCACTTGAACAACACTCCGGGGAGCCCTCCGTAAAAGTGAGTGAATTTTGTATGCGTGCTACAGTTTCCAGGACCGCACAGTTCATTTTTTCCGTGTGTCTCTACTCATACTGAATCCTATACGATGAACGTATAGATCGTCATTCGGGGCCGCTCTCGAAAATAGCACATCTGCTGCTGTTGGTGCTGTTGCAACGGCGGTTGCTGCTGTGACGGTCGGTTGGTATCTCGCCTGCTCTCCGATCTTAGCCTCCAGGTCGATAGTCCGGTCCCACCGAGAGAAGAAGGCCAAATGTGCCTCGCTCAGGTGACCCACCTGAAGACAGAGAAGAACAATGAACAAAACGCTGTCAAGACAGCACCTCGATTATAGAGTTGATAGTGAGAAAAAGTTGCACGAAAATACAATGGTACGGCAGTATGATCAAACGTGCCTTGCATAGGTGTAACCCACACAATTGTTTTCTTACTATTAATACTGATGACACAACAAAATCTGTCTCCTCCACAGATACTGAGTCTTACACTTTTACTATTTTTTTTTTTTTCACTTCAAATCAGCGCTCACAGCACTAGTGCCGTTTATTCCAACCCGTGGTCACACAGAAGAGCCCCTCTCTACCCTCCCCCCCTGCGGTACTTTGCCTTCGATTTTTATTGCGAGAAGAGTTCAGCACTCTCTTCCCGCTGTGTACACACGAACTAGCGCTATCCACTAAGCCAGGAGCGGAAGCGAGAGAAGAACTCACTTTGCAAGAAAAGCTCGCCTACCCCGGGATTCGAACCCCTGGCCTGGCCTCTAGAAGGTTTCGAGGACACCAACTAGACCACCGGGGCGACCGGAGTTGGTTATTGTTTTTTATGGGATAGAACATTTATCTTCGCAAAGAGGGGGTACGCGACCACAAAACACACCTTGCTGTCGAACACCCCCGGCTCGAGCCCACTGCTATCCGCGTCGCCCCCTTCCGCCGCACGGTGGTACAACATGCACTCCGAGTTCTGGAAGCACATCCCGCACTCCCTCGGCCTCCGTATCACGGGGGGCAGGGTCGCACCCCCCCCTCCGCCGCCGCCCCCATCCGCGTCTCCCCCTACGAGACCGACGCGCCCGATCTCCGCCATGCCCGTGGCGAGGCGGTTGCGGGCGAGGATGAGGGCTCGGATTTCGGCCGCCACGGGCGATACGAGCTCTGAGGTTAGGCCGGCGGCGGCATGAAAACGGGGAGGGGGAGAGGGGGGCGAAGGCGACGGGGAGAGGGTGGATAAAGTGCACGTGCGCTGCGTGTGCTTGTGTTGTAGTATCGACTGCTGTCTCGCCGCCGACAGACGCACCACTGGCTGACACGCTGTTTCGAGTCACGCAGGTGTGGATGTTCAAGCATGCTTGGCGTGTTGGAATGCGGCATGCATGGACGGTGCGTGGCATATGGCAATACCTTAGGCGAAGAACAAAAAATCGCTTCCAAAAGGCCATTCATGTATGTGTACGTACATACGTTACGTTACTTTCTTAGCGGGATAACTTACCCGTACGCAGACCGTCGGCTGCGGTGTACACCAGGAGCCCGCTGGTGGAGGCGTCGTGCCCATACCTCATGCGGAGGAGCAGCGTGTACAGCATCACCTGTCCCATCCCCCCACATGAAGCATGCAAAGAACACAGCAGACGATGTCATCGATGGCGGGAGAAAAATTATTCGGTCTTCTCGGAGGGAGGGTTTGGGCTTCACCCGTGTTGTCTGTGTAGCTTGGTCGTACAAACGACGTTGATGCACACTTTTCGACTAAGAAAAAAAGACCAATGCGTCTTCGGACGGTTTTGTGGTGAATCATAATAAAAACGTGTGAGACCCTCCATATCCATATCTGCCAGGTTTCCAGAGGTCTCATCACCAAGTGAAGCGCAAAAGAAGGAAGACTAGCTGAAAAAGGTTTTAAAAACACTTAGAGGGGGCTTGGGAAAACAACCAGATGCTATTTACAGGGGTGTTAGATACCTGGGCCCGATGGGTGCTGTTGGCCTCCCCTTTCCGTTTCCCAGTTTTCACCTCCACGGGCATCACTAACGACGGGGCCCCCCCCCCCCCCACCAGGGGCTCAACGACAGCCTCCACCGTGGCGTCCATGATACCCTTAAGCCCCAGGACCGGACTCCACACGTCATCTTCGGTGGCAAGCACTCGAGAAACAGCTACGGTCGCCGCCATGGCACCGTCCGAGGTAAGACTCGCCATTCCGCCGTTGTTCCCGCCGGCCGCGGAGGCGTTGCTGCGGCCGCTGCCGGGGCTACGACCACCCCCACCGCCGCCGCTATGAGGGGAGCGTCGAAGCCCGCTACTGCCGCCGCCGCCGCCGCCGCCGTTCCGCACGAGGAACGACCGGTGCCAATCCAGGATCGACCCGCTTACGCTCAGCAGCTCACCGCGCGCGGCGTCCTCGTCGAAGCCCGCCCCGTACAGGGCCTCCAGCTGCGACACCACGATGCGGTCCACCAGCTCCGCCATGTACTGGGGCGTCAGCAGCGGCGGGGCGCCGCCGCCCCGCCCTTGCCCCTGCCACCCCGGCGCCGCCGCCGCTGCCGCTGCCGCCGCCGCGGCAAGGAGGGACGTCTCGAAGAGCTCGTGCTTTAGGTTGCCCATGACGGCAGCCTTGCTCTTGCTGGCGTCGGAGGCTAGCCGCGACTGCAGGACGGCCTTCCGCGCGCACGCCACCGTCTCGGCTACCTTGGTCGGGGACACCAGGATGTCCGGGTGGACGACCACCAGCCTCCCGGAAGCGTTGTCCACGACAACGTCCCGAGATGCCTCCTCTTCCATGCCCAAGCCCTCTCCCGCCGCCGCCGCCGCCACCGCCGCCGCCGGCATCGGGAAAAGAACGTGCACGCCGTCGCCGGGCTCCACCTCGCAGTCGTACCAGTCCCCGAGAAGGGTGATCTTCCTTTGTTGAGCCATCCCGGCGCCCTCCCCACTATCATCCGCCGGGAGGTTCGCCGTCGCCGCCTCCCCAGCCGCCGCCGCCGCCGCCGCCGCCGCTGGGGGGGTATCGGGATCCTCTTGGGAGTCCTGCTGCTCGAGAGCCATGAGCACCTTCTCCCGGCAGCCGCGGCCGTTCCTCGCAGACACGTAGGTCACCTCGAGGACCAGGAAGCGGCGATGGACGAGGGCGGGCCGCCACCGCCGCCGAGGACTAGGAGAGCCCGCCCTCGGAGCAACAAAAGACGAAGAGCCATGATGACCATGATGGCTCGAAACCATAGGTGTTTCCTCCCCCCCCGCCAGTGCCCCGTCCGCCGTCGCCCGCTGCTGTTGCGCCCACTTGGTGAGGCGCCCCTGCCCCTTATCGGGGGCCCCGCGGTCTGCTTGGGGGCCCCGACCGATCTTCATCGACTTCGTGAAGTCTTCCATGCTGCCGTAGGTGGTGAAGAGCTCGGAGGAGTTGGAGGAGCCGTGAGGGGGGGCACCCTGAGCGGATCCCGCCGCAACCACGCCCCCCGTCTCCCCCCGCCCCCCGCCCCCCGCCGCCGCCGCCGCCGCCGCCGCCGGAGTTTCTCCCGAACGGCGGGGTCCGGAAGGAGGCGTTGTCGGCCGCTCCCTCTCCCCGTCCTGGGGTGGCCCTCCCACTGCTGCTCTGCTGCCGCTGCTGCTGCTGCTGCTGCTGCTGCTGCTGCTGCTGCTGCTGCTGCTGCTGTCGATGATCGCCGCCGCGCTTGGGGTTGGGACCGATCGCCGAGAGCGGGGGCCGGCCGGCGGACCCGTTGAACGCCCGCTTCGACCCTGCGACTTGCTGCTGCTGCTGCTGCTGCTGCTGCTGCTGCTGCTTGGCCCTCGATCCTTCCCTGCCTGACCCACCACCGCGGCATGCCACAGCCGAGCCGCCGCTGTTAGCACCGCGGCCGGAGGAGTTGAAGCCGTTTCTCCCCGCCTGTGACCCTGCTAAGCCGGTGATCTGATTCGCAGAGCCCGGCGGGGGAGTCTGTCGGCCGTTAGCGCTACTACTATTGCCCCGGTGATGATCACCAACGTCTCTCTGAGTCTGAGTTTGCTGAGATGCGGCGGCGGCGGCGGCGGCGGCTAGCTGGCTTGAGGCCACCGCCGAAGATGTCTTCGCGGCTTGGTCCTCCAGGGCCTGCAGGTCGGCGTCCGTAAGGAAGTCGAAGTCGTCGCCATACTCGTCAACGTCGATCACGGCCGTGCTGCTAACAACAGCGCCACCATCGTCCCGGCTTACCGCGCCCGGCCCACTCGCAGCGCCGGCAGAGTCTACGGCCGAGGGTACCGCAACAGAGGCCGCGGCTACCGTGGCCTCTGGGGAGCGGCGATGCTGCGCCGCTGGGGGGTTACCGTTAATTTCTTCGGCGGAGACCGCCGGGGCCGCAGGAGCTGCTGCTGCTGTTGGCGGGGAGAGACTCCCGGTGACACTCGATCCGGAAGCGGAAGAGGCGGCCACGGCTTCCATCGCCGCCTGCTCCGCCGCCGCCGCTGCCGGCGGCCTCGGAACGCTGGACTCCAGACAGCCGCCGGCGAGAGACGTTGCAGTAGCGCCTGCCTCTTGTTCTAGCCGAAGCCTGAGCCTGCGCCCTCGCTCCGCGTCGGCGAATTTCTTTCGAAGAAGCGCCTTCTTCGCCCAATCGCCGACGATTCTCGCGCCGCAGCCGCCACCGCCACTTCTTCGGCCCGAGCCGGCACTACCGCTCCCAGAGGAACCGACACTTCCCTCTCTCGCCGCAGCCTTGCTCGAACAAGCCGCCCCCCCGGTCGTTGGTTGCAGCCAGCGCGTCAGCAGGCTACTACCGTCGCCGTCGACGGACCCTGTGGCACATCCCCCCCGCCTCGAGTTGCTGTTGCCCCCGCCATCCGCGGAGCCCCTACTACCGCCCCCACCCCCCTCGTCACACTTCCCTCCCGCGAGAACACTCCCGAGGCTGCACAGCTGCTCGAGGACCACGCTATCGTCTTCACCGCCCCCCCCCTGCGTGGCGACGCACATGTCCTTCGGGGCGACGTCATACCGCACGTCATCGAGAAACTCATCGCTTGTCGCAGCGAGGGACGCCCGCGAAGCCGCGCCGGGGGGGGTGTCGTCGTTGTTGTTGCTGTTGCGAGCGCTACTCCTGCTGCTGCTAGTGCCGCCCCGGGTACGGCCGAAGGGGTTCCGTGGAGCGATCCGGGGCTCCGAGCCGGAGGAGGAGGGGGTGCGGCTGCGCTTGCGGTGGCCGTGCGTGCCCTGTAGAAGAGGGCGGGAGCAAGAGGGACGGTTTGCTAACGCTTGAGGAAGACGAATAAAAAAAGGGGACCTAGGGCGTAGGTGCCCTCCAGCTGCACACCCGGAAAATATGACAACTTAATACAAAGTGAAAAAGGCGACCAGTAAATCTTCCAGCTGCATGCTCGGAAAAGATGAAAACATGATGCTAACACTGTGTAGTGCTCATGTAGACGCCACACCCCGCTGGGGCGATTTTGAAAGCTCGACTGCTGTAGCAGTAGTGGAAGCGTCTTGTCAAGAATATTCCGACCACCACGTGAAAATTGATTGTTGGCCATCTTCTTCGTCGCGGACCTTGGTTGATGCGTCTAGCGAGCTATCGAAAGGTGGCAAGACTGTCGTTCAGAAAAAATGCATGCATAATTTACGATGGCAATACAACGCTTGAGAGCAACTATGTACGACAAGAACAGTAGTAACGACGACGACAACAACAACGCGTACTACCCACAGTAGCAGCAACAGCAGCAGCAACAGCAACAGCAGCAGCAGCAGCAGCAGCAGCAGCAGCAACAGCAGCTGCAGCAGCAACGACAACCAACCACCACCACAACCAAAACAATTACGAACGACGGCGAACAGCAACAGCAACATACTCAGTGACGGCAATGCCAATACCAATACCAATACCAATACCACCACCACCAACATCGATGACGACTACAACCGGACGACAACCCATTCGGGTCCCCCTGCCATGCAGCTGGATGGAGTGGTGATGACAGAGAGACGCGTGCTACCCCCTGTTGTTGCCGTTGCTGTTGCTTAAACCCTTTGGGTCTAGAACTTTTTTTTGCGGCAAGAAAGTACTCAAGTGAGCGCCAGTGCGGCACGTACGTGGAAAGCGACGACAGCGCGAGCGTTTCAAGTGGCGCGGTACGTGAGGGCCTAGGGAAAGACGAAGCCTATAGCGAAAGACATTACTGCTACCAGTGCTGGTGCTCTAGGGATACACCTTGGTTCAACAAGGCGGGGGTTCAGCTGCTGTTGCGCAGGGAAGGACACGTAAGAGCAGGTAGGGTTGCGCGTCGACTGCAGGTCGACGAGGAGGGTTGCGGGGACCGCCTGCGCGGGATTAATAAGTTGACGAGGAAATAGAACAGGGAGGGGGGACGCAGACCCTGTTCCTTGACCCTAAGCCTACTCTGACTTCCCCGATTATATTATTTATTCAACGTTTGCTTCTTGCTTCATACAACAAACCTGCGAAGGCTATACGGTTGCATCTCTCAAGAGGATTACCGTATATGACACAAGATAACACACCCCCTGGACCGATTTTCAAAGCTCGATTACTCCACGACGAAGAGGATGCATAAATGAAACAATACGTTTTCGAACAGCTCTCGACGAGACGGTTCCAACGCCGCCGTTTTCGGCGCTGTGACTCTTCCTGCTGTTGAGAAATCGAGCTTTGAAAATCGGCCAAGGGGGTGTGTTATCTTGTGTCATATACGGTACTCTACCTCCCGTGCTGACGAGTGCTTGTATCCGATGCTATAGCAGTAGTACTGGCTGCTTCCGACGAAATGAGGGGAGCACAAAATTTGCAATATATACAACAGTCCTACCGGTGCTGAACACGTGTGTCAAGCAGACTCGAAGGCTTGAAAGCGACAGCCGAGCAAGGTTACCTGTTACCTGTGTAGCGTGGAGTATCGCAGGTGACGTAAGATATCACACCCCCTACACAGATGGTCACAACCAGTAACGCTGCCGAAAAATGGCAGCATTGGGACCACCTCGTCGAGAGGTGTCCGAACGAATACAGTACGATTTGATTTTGGCACCCTCTTGCTTCGCCGTGGAGTAAGTACTGCTGTAGTCGACCTTTGATATTGGAAAATCGGTCCAGAGGGTGTGGTATCTTGCGTCTCCCAATCTGCTGCAGGCTGCTGGTTTTATGTATCCTGGATAGCCAACATAATCCTTTGGACGCAGCCGGCGGGCCCACCTTCTTCCCTCCACTGCTTCCCCGGTCACCAGACATCGTTGTTCGTCTGTCGTTGTTGCGCGTATCTCGCTGTTGCTGTTGTAGCTGTTGTTGCTTTTGCAGCTGTTGCTGCTGCTGTTGCCGCTCTGTTGACTTGCCGTGGACTCGCTCCGAGATGGTCCTTTTCCCCCCAGAGTTTCAGAACAGTTGATACAGCTGGAGTCAGCACAACACAGCTGATACCACACTCCAGCAGTCCTGCGCACTGGGGCGCAATCGTCTGACAGAAGCGTCGTCCAGTGGCAAGCGTAACCACAGCATGCCCGTTGGAGCACGCCATGGTGCGCAGAGCTCCTCTGCTTTGTGGGGTTTGCTGCATCCGCGAGGGAAATTTCAAAAATCACATTCACGGGGCCCCGTTTAAATATGCAACGGCCACAATTACGAAATCGCGGCGGTTGCAGAGCCAGCACCGCGGAGCAGTGCTACGTGGACGGGTGCGAAACCAAGTCGCGGCGAGTGAATTGGACGGGTAGAACACCGCCGTGAGCGTGTGGCCGTGCTCTTTGCGCTGGCTTGGACGAGTTGGCGAGGAAAAACACGGGGACAGCGTCGGGAAGCAGAGTCGGCGTGCGCTCGCTCTTTTGGTCTAGTGAGGGACTGCTGTTACCTGCGAGGACGCCGCGCGGCACCCACCGCCATGCACATCAGGGAGGTGGTTATCGATGGGTTCAAGTCCTACGCCACGCGCACCGTGCTGCAGGGTTTCGACCAGCAGTTCAATGCCATCACGGGCCTCAACGGCAGCGGCAAGTCCAACATCCTCGACGCCATCTGCTTCGTGCTGGGCATCTCGAACCTCTCGCAGGTTAGGGTGTCGAACCTACAGGAGCTCGTGTACAAGCAGGGTCAGGCCGGCGTCACCAAGGCCAGCGTCACGCTCGTGTTCAGCAATGTGGACAAGAAGGGCAGGTGTGTCTGGTTGTCGAAGCCGCTCTATGGTGCCGTCGTTCTACTACTTGCCGGTCTTGCATCTACAGTACTGCTGTAGATCGTGTCCGTTGGGAAATGGCATGAGGATTGAGGATGCTTTTCTTACAGGATCAAGCAGTAGTGTTCTTCGACTGCTCTACTATCATGAGTGTTTTTTTTTATGCACGGAAGGAAAACCGGTCGCTGAGTGCTATGTGGTGCCCTGCTGCTGCACGTTAGCGCCGTCGTCCAGCAACACACGACATTTACGCCACGCCAAACAAAACAAAGCCGTCGTTTCCGCCTTGCGCAAGGGGGCCCCGTGAATGCAAACACAAAGCAGCCCCGCCGTTCCGCCTAATGTACAAGTACTTGTAGTCTCGGCGAGTTTCACGTAGGCACAGGAAACTAATTAAGGAATAATAAAAACACACACTAAAAGACTACCCATTCGAGATATACCCACAGTCGAACGGGATGTGGTGGAGTCTTTTCAGTGAGTGGAGGGAAACCGGCTGGGTACTGGACTTATTTCGAGTCTTTTTAAGTCTATACACTGATGATTTATACCAGTGATGCCAGCTGGTGCTAAGTACAAAAACATCTGTATAGTTCCTAGATACACCAGAAGCTTTGTTCTCCGCCCTTCGAAATGGGGTTGGATCGTATCCCTACCTCCGCCGCCACTAAAAATAGCTTGCCTGCTGTGCTCCCGGGCTGTAAACGGCTACAGAGAAATCCGCATGCGTGTGCCCGAAAGCCGTCGTTTACTTAAAAACCAGCCTAGCAGTATGACCGTGTTTTTTTTTCCGTTCCATTTCTCCTTTCCTTCTCATCTCTTTCTTCTCTTCTCTCATCGTAAGACAGCCGCATGGGGTGTACGAGCACACTTCTAAAGGAGCTCGATGAGGGTACCATCACGTGCTTTTTTGTGCTTTGGGTCTCCAAGTACGCTTTTCTGTCGGTATCTATCTTCTGTGACAGTCCCGTGCGTTACGAGTACATGGCCACCACGCACCCGAGCCGACCCTTCTCGCGTAACGGTCGTGCAATTTCTCCGTACCATTTCTTACCTCCTTATCCTGTCTTGCCTCTGTCTTGTGACAGCCCCATGGGGTACGAGGAGTTCGACGAGGTGACCATCACGAGGCAAGTTGTCATCGGCGGCAAGAACAAGTACCTCATCAACGGCAGGACCGTTCAGCAGAGCCAGGTCACCAACCTCTTCCACTCCGTGCAGCTCAACGTCAACAACCCGCACTTCCTCATCATGCAGGCGAGTCACCGTCCTTGTTGCTATCATAGAGGTAGATGTATGTAGGTACTGTCGTCGTCGTTGGTGGTGTCGTGGATGCTGCTGTTGGTGGTATTGTGGGTGCTGCTGTTGCTGGGGGTGGTGTTGTGGGTCTGCTGTTGTTGCTGTTATTTTGGTGGTGCTCCCCCTGTTGATGGTATTGTGGGTGTTGCTGTTGTTGGTGGTGATGTGGGTGCGTCTGCTGTTGTTGCTGGTGTGTGCTGCTGTTGTTGGTATCGTGGGTGGCGGTACTGTTTGTGGTATTGTGGGTGCTGTTGGTGGTGCTGCCGCTGTTGGGTGAGGCGCCGGTTGTGTCCACGGCAGTGCGGGCGCCCTTCTGACTTGAAATGTTTTCGGCGTCTCCTTTGCCCCGTCTCGGGAACGTTCTCCGGAACATCGCCCCCCCCCCCCTCCTTATTCTACAAAATAGCTGGCTATGTGCTGCCAAAGGGACCTGCGTGTAAAACACCATCGCACCCACAACGTGCGGCACTCCCTTTTTCGGGCGGTTTTAACCCAACTCCAAGTATTCTGCAAATTAGCCGACAGTGCGCTCCCCAAAGGGACCTGTTCGTAGCACAACCGCACCCAACGCTCCCGTGTTCTCGCGCGTTCTGGACAGGGCCGCATCACGAAGGTGCTCAACATGAAGCCGCCTGAGATCTTGGGGATGATCGAGGAGGCCGCGGGTACCCGCATGTTCGAGCAGAAGAAGCAGAGCGCCCAGAAGACCATCGAGAAGAAGCAACAAAAGGTGATGGTCTTGGCCGCGTGTGTTTCCTGATGCCATTCCGTGCAAGTGCCGCTGCAGTGCTTGTGCCGCTGCTTTCGCGACTTCGTCTGCGAGGCTGCGTTTTTATATTCTTTTTGTAAACAAGCTTTGAAAGTTACTTAGATGGAAGTGCTAGGATAACTCTTGTGCTCGCCGTTCTGCTAGGTATGTTTCCCGTTCGTTTTGCATGTGCTGTATATATGCTACGGCAGTAGCGGTATTCGGAACCCTTCCTCCCTGGCAATTCGAGTTTTTAGAAAGACCGGTTCGAGATAGGACCACAGTCGAAGTTTTTTTTGTCTTTTTTGCTGTTGTTCAGGTGGATGAGATCAACGCCATCCTTCAGGACGAGATCACTCCAAGGCTAGACACGCTCAGGGGGCAGAAGACCCACTGGCTGAAATGGAAGGCTAATGAGGGTGAGGAGAGCCGGTTGCAGAGGTTCTGCGTTGCCTACAGCTTCAGCATGGCGGAGTCGACGCTCAGCAGCTCGGAGGGGGAGAAGCAGGCGCTGGAGGAGGAACAGGGGGCCCTGCAGGCTGCGCAGAAGGAGGCACAGGTATGTACGTTGTGGGGCCCCGTGTGTCGTGTTTTTTGTAACATCGACCGCGCTATGTATCCGGCTCACCAATGAAGGAAATGAAACAGCATATAGTCAGCTCTCAGTGCGGCTGAAATCAGAAAAGGGTTCCAAAGGCCATGATACTTGGACACCCCGTGAGCGGGCGTCGTGCGGGAGGCTAAACTACTCTACGGAATATAGGCTGACATACGGCGTGTAAGAGGCGCAGGGATGGCACCCCGCCTACAATAGATCGGCTTTCGACAATCATTTGCTCCAGACCCAAGGTGCACAGAAAGAGACACAGAAAGTGACCGGTAGATGCGTCGACGGAAAGGCCTCGATGGGAGATGTCCAAAAACATCATTCATTTCGGTGTTGACACAAGCTCGTTTGTGAAGTTATCGAGATTTGAAAATCGGTCTAGTGGGGGTGCCATCTCCCCGCCTCTTCCGCTATAGAAGTACCTTATACGACACAAGATAACACACCCCCTGGACCGATTTTCAAAGCCCGATCTCTCAACAGCAGAGTCACAGCGCCGAAAACGGTGGCGTTGAAACCGTCTGGTCGAGAGCTCTCCGAAAACGTATCGTTTCGTTCACGCATCATCTTCGCCGTGGCGTAGTCGAGCTTTGAAAATCGGTCCAGGGGGTGTGTTATCTTGTGTCGTACACGGTATGTGTGGTTTGACCTTTTTGTTGTTGGTGGTGGGTGGTGTCGTTCTGGTTACCGTGGGTCCTGTTTTGTCTCTTTTCTTTGTTTTCGATCCATTGTCAATACTAGAACATGTGCTTCGCGTCTCGAGCAGTGTAGGCTTGTCGGCACTTTTGACCCCCTCCCCCATGTACAAACAGACCGAACCACAAACACTGCTACCCACAGAATTGCAACGTTTCTTTTGGTTCGTTGGGGTTCGCTGGGCTTGTCGAGTCTAAAACACGCCAGCTGAGCTTGTTGTTGTTGTTGTTTTTATTATTGTTGTCTTCACATTAAAAACCGCTCCGTTGTCTCTACCCAGTACCTTCTTCTGTCCGTACTAGTCAAACACCTGACGCAGTCGATTGCCGTGGTCACAGGCTAACTCACCCAAGAAAGGTATACACATTATATACAGAATAAAGTTGACATTGGGGTCCGCAAGTGAATTAATATCAACGACAGATATTCTAAAACCCTCCGCTCGCCTCTACATGCTCAGCTTTAATTCCTCAATATGTACTTCGAAAAATTAAAAAATCTGCTGGATACAGAGTTGACGTTCGCTGGCCTCTTTCAGTCAAATTTGTCAGCCGTATGAATTATTGTTTTGCGTCTTGGGATGATCTTGTTCCACAGGAAGAGGTGGCGCAAACGGAGGCTAAGGCGAGGGAGGTGCAGGCCCTCAAGGAAGGGAAGCTAGAGAAGGACCTGAAGGAAGCTTCCGCCGCCCGCGAGAAGCTGTCCAAGGACCTGGTTCAGGCCACGAGCGAGATGACCAACAAGAAGAGCGCTCTTGAGGCCGAAGTCAAGGCCCTGGAGGTCGTCAAGAAGGTGGGTGTTTTTTACCTTAGGTGGCATGACGGAATATATCGCCCCCCCCCTGAAACTTTTCGCCGATTACCTCACGGCGCTTCGCGCTTGGTGATGTGAGAGCCTTGTCCGGTGAGAACCCGGCGTGCTCCGTCCCGGCTTTGTAAGGTCTAACGACTACGGCATGCACGACTATGAGTACACCCCCCCCCCCCACCCCCC